CGAAACTTTTTATCCTGGTATTATGATAATTTTGCTCTGTAACTGTAACAAATCCTGAAATTTGACGCAAAGGCTCACAAAGTCTACTGATTGATGTAAGCAATTTAAGATTAAACGAGTGAAGACTAATTTAGTGAATTAACGTTAAGGACAACTAGATTTGAATGCCTAATGATAAGAAAGAAGAGGAAAGGAAAGCATAATTAATCACTTCTTTTACGCTATTGAAGATTTGAGAAAACTTCAAGATTTCGACAATGCACAATAAAATGAATGCAGCGTAAAGCATTGCGGTAGAAATGGAAAGTAGGGTAACAAGCGTGAATACGGTAAGTTACCAAACGCTTCAAAATAGTTTTCTGCTGAAGCGAAGAAATGTGAAGGTTGTTCAATTCTCTCAGCGATACAGCGAGCCATTGTAGGAGAGCTTTTAGCGGAGATTAGGTGTCACTGCTTTCATAGAAATTTGTTTCTTTTGTGGAAGTTTTCGTAAGAGCTCAAAGTTTCAATCTGAATGCAGAAAGTAGAGTGAAATCTCCATGTCAACAATTCTAGAACACAATATACGCACCATCTGTTAATCTTTGTATCAGACAATGATTTAATAAGAGCAGGAATTCCATTCCAAGCAAATCCAATGACCGCTTTTTTGGCCTTTGGCTAATTAGCGCTGAGGAAAAAGTGGGTATCAAAATGTCTGCGATTTCTCTCGGTGTTTGAGTTATTCTCTCCAATATTCCATATTTCCCCAAGAATCAACAACTGAATGTCTGCAGTCACGCAGAAAATCGTCATGTCTTTTTTGTTCCTATGCTATTTATCTACATTCCTTGTTCTAGATGTCGAGTATTTATAACCCTCCAGCTTCCATTGAGTACATTCAAAAATAAAATTCTTAAATGTTACACAAAAGAGTAAGACCACAGAAAAATTATTATAAAAACTCACTCAAGTTCGGAGAAATGCTGAACAAATCCTAATCCTTCTCTTCTGCAGTGTACGCAAGCGAATAAATAGAATTTGTTTTATAGCATTCTAGTTAGAATGATGCTATTTACGTGAAGCGGTTCTATTTATAATCAATAATATGAAAGGCTATTTTCTGGTGCACATCGTCACTTGCAAATCATTCATGCAAATAATCGAGCAACCCTTGCATATCGGCTAATGCGATGCCTCTTCCGATCTGCTGATCACTAAGCAACAAATGAATTTTTGATTTGGGCATTTCAACGAGAGGGTGATCGGCTCAGCACTAGGTAGACGAAAATTGTCTTATAA